GTCTGAGGTCAATTTAATTTCCCCAAAACAAACTGCCCCACTTTGGTGCGTATTTTTCCATCCTCCTATAAGATACACAAATGATAATGGTGAATCCATTCCGTCTGTGCATATAAACAGCGTTTGTTTTTCATCAAGCACGCATGCAGAAGAGAATAACTTTAAGTTAGAAGCTAAAAGCCTAACTGAGAGACGTGGACGTTGCAACCGGTTTTAGAAAGAACTATATCAATCTACCTATGAGATGGAAAGCACACTGAAAAGTGTACACTGAATGGAAATTTTGACCCCAAGAGTTTTTGCATTCCTGTTGTTATTTTACTGATATATATATATATATATACAGGTGTTGATCAAACTCGTGCAAACAGCAATCTTATTTTGGAAATACATTTCAGTCTCCAGTATCATACATATTTATTGATGGCTATGGGTAGAGTGCATTAATTGCTGATATAATCTCCCACTTCTGTCGTGTTAGTTCTGTTTTATCACCGTTTGAACCTGCGCGACCTTGAGTGTTGCGATAACATTTGTAGTAGTTCAGAGGTTATAGCTCAGACTTGGAAAATATTTTAAGCGAAGCAGCATGGGAATTCATTCTTTTTAATAAATGATTCCTGTTCCATGGGAGTGTTTATTAAGTTGAGCAAACGTATTCTAAGTTGCTCATCTCTTTTCATTTAGTACACAGTAAATAAGCAAAGTATTGAAAATATTGTAGATTAAATAAATTGACAAATTCTTCGGCCACAAACTACTCATGCATTACCCACAATACTGAAAGAACCGAAAATATAATCCAGGAAACACAGAGGTTGATCTTTGAAAGTGGACCTTGAGGTGTGCAGCTCGCTGAACAAGCGTCTTATAGTGTCACCATACCCAAACCCGATGAAACATTCAAAAGGTTTTGGCATACAATTGAAGCCGAGAGGCAAATTAATTGCATCGNTCGTCCGTCCATGTGGCAATGGGTTCATCTCAGTGGAGGCCAACGCGTAATTCAGCAGGCGGAGAAAGCTGATCTACTGACCTAAATTTCCAATGAATTTCGTTTTCCCTGTCAAAAGAAGTAAATATGCATCCCACCTGACTATCTTAAAAGAAAGGAAATACTGTAAGCCTTGTCTTCTGCACATACCTATCTGGATATCGCAAAATATTTTGCACTGATAAGGTTTTCGGTAACTGGTACTCTTAAAATGCAATCGCGGGTCATACATTTTACAGATAAAGTTCTTTTTGGACGCTTTACAAGACCATTCGTCCCGCGATAAGCCCGGCTACACATATGCTAATTCTTTGAACACAATCGAACAACTTTACAACACATTCGACCTAAATTAAGGTCATCGCGCATCAATATTAATCTCGAGGAGATAAATCAATAATATTGCGTCGTATGGCAATATTCACTCTCTCCGTCCGTCTGGTTCGTAGCCTATGGTGGGTCCAACATTGCTCACTGTGTATTTCATTGGTACATTCGTTTTCTTGCATCGATCAATGTTGTTTTCAGTCACATATAAGCATCAGAGTAAAACTTTTACATTGACTCGTGACTTGTGACTTGTGCTCCATTAAAATCTGGTGCTGCTGAAGCCGTGTCTACTCTCTCGTGTTTTGGGAGGCCTGAAAGATCGATAGCCGGCCGTGTGTTCCGTGTTTCGCTTAGGTAGCTTCTGCTCCTAGAACTATCATCTACTCACGGACTTATTGCTTGTCCACTGTTCTCGTTTCCCGTATGCTACTATTTGTACTGTGCTATATCTTGTGTTCTTTGCACTTGTGTTTTTCTCCTGTGATATAGTATTGTGCGACCTAAAAGTAGGTAACGGATATGCGCGGCGCAAAACATAGTAATTAGATTATGTAACAGGTTTGTATATCTTCTCGCTTGAGGTTGGTAGTAAACAACGTTCAGGCAAAATTAAATATTATTTTTTCACATTTATGCAGTCTCTGGAGGGTTGAAGTTTAATGTCAAATTCATTCAATTACCGCGCAGCAGCTGGGATTTTGATTTACTCGAAAAGGTTTCCCTGTATCAGAAACAGGGATAATTTTGCTACGACACTGTTCGTAGATTGCAAGGGTGTGGAGTTTATTAGAGGAAACTGGCACATTCTGCTTAGCAGTCTACTTGGTGTACTCCATGCTGCCTTGACTCCCTCCAATGCTCAAAAATGAAGAAAGGCAAATGGAAATTGTACGAGATGAAAGTACAACACCTATATAAAGTCTAAGAGTAATTGTAATAAATAAATTCTAGTTACATTTTCTACCGTGATTATTTTATTTTTCAACTGCTGCAACCATGGTCAAAATCGTCAAATTGTACATTTTAATGACATGTGGCTAATAGAAGCATTGACATAAGTGGGTATTATATCAGATATGTTGCGTGTGATGTGAGGCCATATCATATTCCATCCCGTGAATGAGGTTGGAAAAACGAAGCATTGAGAGGAAATTATTTGATGAAAATCAGGATGTTGCACGAGTTTGATCAATGCCTGTATGTCGGATAAGAAAAGCGGTCTGATCAACTGCATGGTACCCTAGTGGGTAGCATGCTTGCGTTCTGCCTGTGAAGTCACGGGTTTAATCTCCAGTTGGGCCGATGGAATCGCACAGCTGATTAGACCTTCCTGATTTTTCACTTCACGCTTCATTTGATATATACACGACGAATTCCCTCATTGAAATATATACTTCACCTTTTTAACACGTTTTCTCAAGATAGTACCTCAGACTAGTTGAATCCGTCTTCTGTACGTTGTGCGTAACTCAGCTTGACTATGGATCCTGACGTATCTAACAAAGCCATTCTGTGATTTGGTGAAAACTGTCAGGTCGAGTGGTAGAAGGACAGCAAATCACCTCGTCATCACTGAACAATCATGTCAAAACCTGAACGGGTAAGTAGTGTACAGCGCGAGAAGAAAGGAGACCAAATTGCGCCCTACTTATGGTGGAATTAAGCTGTACATATTAGGAAGGTGTACCTCTAAGTAGAAAAAAAGTAAATTGCGCCCTGTATGCGAATTAGTTTACAGCAGTATTCACTGTATTATGCCCTGGCTACAACCACAGACATGCTGTATTCAACAAACTGTACCACACTTGCTAACTGATAAGGAGGCTAGGGAATGAACAGTTGCATCAACAGTGGACAGGTAAAAGTTGTAAACAAATCAAATTCTTACCCCTATTTCAAAACATTATTAGGCGTTCTTAATTACAGGGAGCAAGCTTAAGTTTGCCGAGGAAAACAAAGACAAAATCATTTGCTTACTTGGGAGGGATTTTTGCTAAAACTTCAAGCACACTTTTGATTTCCCCGTTAGACCGAGTGTATTTCTGGGGTTTTCCAAGGATCTGGGATTAGTTAACTAGACCTCTTGTTTAACTGTTTCCACATGGTTGTTTACTGTTTATTGGTTTTTGGTACGTCAGGGGAGTAACATGAAAAATAAAATGGACGTTCGTTAAATGCGAGATTGATAAATCTTTCTCAGCTGCTACTTTTAGTTGATTTATGAAAAAATGGAAAAATCGACTTTATGAATTTGTGGTAAACAAGATAGAACTAACTACAAACGAGAGAAAGTGTCTGCAGATGTAAAATGAGCTCGGCAGTCTGGTGCGCGTTGCCTAAGCCTGACTGCGAACCATTCTGAACTATCCCGACTGCAATATTCTATGGAGATAGGATGCAAAGGGAGAGAAAGATGGCGACAACTAAAGATTGTTATTCTTTGCCGTCATTTAAAACACTGAATGTGAAAATCCTTGGTTTAAGATAGATAGATAGATAGATAGTTTTATTTTATCTACATCTGATCAATTAGTTTCCAGCCACACACGAATCAGGATTTGCACCGGACTCAGATCAACGCAGGTGGCATTGTGGGCAATTATGTGCTCACAGTTGACTCGTTGACAATTCTACTTGCGTATCATAAAACTATACGCGACAGAATCATTCTGGTTCATCGTTCACATTGACTAGTTAACGACTTTACGGATAGTGTTCCGAACGAACAATAGATAGGTTACTCGAATTGGCTCAGTAGATGCAACGCATCGTAGTCTTACCCGTCAAAGATGATGCCACTGCAGAGGAGAGAACTCACTGTCTTGCCCACATTCCGATGCCGATTTTCCTCATACTTCCGCAACGCGTTTGACACCGACATTCGATAGCCCATGTTAACATCCTCGATGACCGTTTTTCAGTCAGCGTGAGTGCGCCTGGTGTATCACTTATGTTGTCCGTAGCGGGAGGGAATTATTTTAAACGTACAGGAGAGCACCAACCTTCTGTGAAGAACACCAAACCGTGTTTAGTTGGATTACTGACTATTCATTTGAAATAAGAAAAGGGTTCATTGGTGTAGATATATAGAGTTCTGTTTTACAAATTGAGTACAGTTACATACAGAACAGTACAGATGACCGAAACGACCGATAGGCACGTCCCGGAATTTAGGCTGTACCCGGAATACAAGTTTTTCAGAGCCCTCAAATTTTCGGGGTAGTAGATTGATGATGTCACTTAGGATTATTAATTTATTGATCCAAGTACTCAATTGTTTACCACATTGCTAGCATCTTTTTCCAACTTCACTTTGGTTCAATAAATGACCATTGGACTTTGTTTCTTTCATCGAGTGTCTTGGGATCAATCATTCTGCCCCAAACTATGTAAGTTTTAATGTGTTTATGTGAAAAATTTATCAAAAAAAGGATTTTTTTCATTCATTTGGTTTGTATTGATTAGGATCTGGTTGATTGTTCAACGCATCGATCTGAAACACATTTTGCATTTGTTTCTTTTTCTTCTTGATCCTTCTCCCCTTCCCTCGGACAGATTGGCAAACACAATCAACATCAGTGGATTTATATCACAGAGAATTGTGCTCTTAAAACTATTTATACCCATTGGAGTTTTCTCCATGGTTGGGTTTTTGTTAAACCGGATCCCATATCACATGCCACCGATATGGTACACGTTGGACCAGTTGAATTTAACCAATCTCAGAGTGGATAAAATACCGGAGCCAATCCTTGATGCGTTTTTGGTCAGACCATTCCGTAATCAAACTCCCTGGGATCGACTGCCCAACCTGACCGAACTGCGTTGGCCTGACGGAATTACAGCACCGCTGCCGGCAGGTAGACGCCTCTATCCCAGAGTAATGCGTGCTCCGTATCTTCCCTCATTTGATCCAATACTGAGTGCGGGACAGCGTCGGTTGTACGAAAAATTATTTTCCATTTTCACAAAACTGATGGATGATCACGGCTACTCGGATCGATATATGCTCTCCGCTGGTACTCTGCTCGGTTCGCATCGACATCACGATTGGATACCGTGGGATGAAGACGTGGATATTATGGTAGACGCAGTCCTGCGTCCTTGGTTGCGGCAAAAGCTGAGTGAGATGGCTCCGGAATATCAGATCTCGTTTGCCGATCGAGACAAATTTTTTACCAAACTGCTTCCGTTGGACCAAGACAATGAAACAGATGTGATGCAAAGTCGCCAGAGTACTGGGAGCTTCTGGGGATGGCCATTTTTGGACATCAGCTATTATGGATTCAATCAAACTCACATGATAGAGGTCACATCGTCGTACGGTATATATTACGCATGGCCTTTGGACATGATATTTCCCCTGTTGTACCGGCCATTTGGTCAACAGTGGCATCCGGGACCCAGGGATCCATTGGCATCGCTGATTGCATACTATGGTAAATCAGACGACTGTGAGTCCCTACAGTACTCGCATGTGTATGAAAAATTTCGCTCTCAGAAACGAACCAAATGTCATGAACTTGGTACGCGGTTCGCGTTTGTCAAACATCGTCCCTGCTTAGTCAATGGTAAACAGATACAGTGGGGAGATTTAATGCTCGTAGAAGAGGTACTTGTACGAAAGTTAAACGATGATCGGGAAGAAAACATTCATGCATTTTGCGTTGCCACGGACTCGAAAAATTCCAAAGCGGATACCTACGCCCTGGATTATGTCGAATGAATTCCGAGCAGCACAGTCGCACAAACCACCGTCAACGGTGGACAGATAAGGTTTTAAATTACAGTACTGACTGTTTTTCGTTGTTTTCGTTCAATGTGCGTTACCGAAGAACACATTGGTGAGAACTGTTAACAGCAGTCATTATTCATCCGTGCTCCAAGAAACAACTATCCTAGTCCAGTCGAGCTTGATAGGACGAAAGCGAAACTGCCGCTCGGCGCATGTGCAATAGGCCGCCTATGTCTCATTCTAAATGAGGGAGCCGTACCAATCTCATTTTGGACACAATCCAATGTCACGTGTTATATATTTGTGCGGTCATTCAAAATTTCAAACTGTCTTTCCCACCCACACACACCCTGCAATTCCGTCCTTGTCTATACAATCGCTAACCAGGAATGCTGTCTGGTTGTTAGACCGGAGCATTATTTGTTTGTTTGTTTGAATTTATTCGTTCCTTCTGACGTTCGAACAACCAAATCAATGTCTTCCGCTTGTTACGTTGAGCACATTTGTACATTTGGTCAATGAACATACACACCCACATGCTCTGAAAATTGGACACTGACCACTGCCCATTTAAAAACACATGTATCAATTCCGACCAAGGCCGAAAAGACAGTTATGCATTTTCAAAATCGGCCGAATGGCAGCAGTCCAAAAATCAGGTGTGAACACAATTGTCATTTTCAAATTCTAAAGTATTAAAACAGACTGCCTGACAGTGAATTTGTTTTCTTGCTTGTCTGTTTGTCTCCAGCAATCGACAGGTACTTTCAATCTTCGCATTCGGTAATTCGTGATGACTGAGTCTGGAATCGAATGGGAATTTTGTTTTCGATTTCTAGTTAGATTGGTGCACTGGTTCTGCGCATCCAACGTGGAGTTGTTTATCTATATAAATATATAGAATGTTTGTTTAATGTTTTAAATTTGATAAGATAATGCATTCTTATTTAAATACTTTTGAATGTGGAAATGCATGAAAATCGAGCTTAACAGTGAGTATGGAAATTTATTTGAAACTGTGTGAATCTGGGTAGTGGTAGAATTATAGAGACACTCGCGCTATGATCAAAGCATTCGTGGTTCGCGTATTGTACGATGGTGAGTAAAGTCTGATGGACTGACTATCACTGAAGACAACACCTGAACAAAAATGAATTGGAAATTTGATTCAGCCATGGCATGAGCTGGTTGGCGCAGTGTTAACACACACTCCTTCCATGCGATGAGTCCGGAGTTCAAAGCCCGGACAGAACGGTGAATATACACTACTGATGAGCTCTAGTAAGAGAGAAGCTCGAGTCTGGTGCTTCTGAATGTTTGATTGAATTGATGAACTGAGGATTGTGAGTAAAGGTGAAGTCCGAAGGATAGTCAGTGAAATCAATCAAATTATGATTTGCCAAACNGCCAAACTCGATCAGATGACTGTCTGGAATTGGATGCTTGGTTTGAGTTTGGTAACAGTTACTTGATGTCTCCATTTCCGATACCACTGGGAATGAAAATTCCGCCTTTTATTCTTCTGTTTTTCACGGTGACAAAAACTTGTTACAATTAGAAAAAAACAAAGGTGCTGACATCCTGACAGAGGCGCCGTGGCCTACAGTATGTGGATGGGCTTCAAGATGTTTGAGGATAGGCGGCTTTTCGTTTTCTTATACATTTCATGGTTCACATGTTTCTCTGAAACAATGCGATCGATTGATATATGAACTGGAGGCGTCAAGTAATCAGTTACGTCATTCATATCCATTATAAAAGAGATCAGGCTTGATCAGTTAGGATGTAAGTTTGTTTGACAATTTTCAGTAAGAACTGTACTGAAAATAGCTTCAGGACTCTTCTCAACAGATTTTCAAAAAAAACTGGGTGATTTCTTTTAATAGCCGTTGAATTTAACATCAATTAAAGCACAATCTATCAGCCCAGTTTCGGGTTGACATTCCTTGTTAATGCACTTCATCACTGGTAAGGAAGCAAGAAACGATATTTGCTAGGTAATTCTCTGACGGACGATTGGCTTCAGCTTGGCCCACTCGGTTGACAACGCTGAACTGTATCCTAGGGACAACGATGATTACAAATACACTTGGTTTTCTTTAACTCACCGTTCACCAATACAAATAGAGGTCAATTAGAATGTTCCTACGCGAGAGCACCACAGTACACCAGTTAGAAGACACACATTAGTATGGTTAATTTTCCGTGAAATCTCGGGTTAACGTTGGCGGGATTTCAATCCCGATAGGAATTCAACTGAAGTCTATTCGGGGTGCTAGCTACTCAAGTTTCTTGAGATTTTCAAGTTTGTAGTTCTCATTCTAATCTGGGAACGGCTCAGTTAGTAAAATCCCGGTAGTCAGGACTGGTCTATTGACGTTCTGAGGTATAAAGAAGCTAAATTGCTACTGGCATATGCCTACAACTTGGTCACGTCACAACTGGGTTCACTNNNACTGTTTCATACTAACCTCCAAGTGTTGAGTAAATTTTGGTCCTATATTTATAGGATGAGCGTCATGAAACTACATCAAATAATTTGCCAGTTCGTGTGAAATTTTGGCGCACGTTGTACCAAAATTACCACCTTGATTCCATCTTGAGTCCGAAACTCCTGTGCTTTAAAGTCCTAGAAATTAATCCAGAATAGACGAGTGTTAATGAATCAGTCTCTGTCGGTTGAAGTAACGTGGTTGGGGGTAGAGTCCCATAGCAGTATGCGGCTGCGCTCGAATATTTCTATTGTTCTGTATCGAGATTTCGCTAAACAGATATGCGCTCTCTGTTCCGTTCAAAAATGAACACGTCAAGCCGTTACGGAGAAAGAATGGAGAGAAAAAATTCACACCAGACAAGAAAACTGGAAAGGATCGTTCACTCTGCAATAATCATCTGCGTCTAAGTGACCAGTTTTTAAAAGTAAAAAGCAACCTAAAAATGAGCAGAATGGATATTTACCATTTATTTCGTGTGCCCTCTCAACTGAATTCGGTAATGATTCACAAATCAACTTGGTTCCACCTGAACCCATGTAATTATTCCAATGTCCATACGGGGAATTCTCCGTAACATATCCCAACCCATTTAAGTTGTGTAGACAGCTTATTGGGAGTACAAGAATTCCATGACCGATATTTATTCTGCTCAAATTGTGTTACTTGTTTTATTCAAATGTAACCAGTTTATCCGTATCACGAAAAGATACGGCTCAAATGAGAGGAACCGATATACGCATATACAACATATTGGAACGAATGAACCAAAAAGGCTGGACTCTGTTTACGACCGGGGTTGACAGTAAGATAAATCGGAATGCCAGGGTGTGGGGTTGTCGATGAGAATTTCATGAGCTCAAAATTCACACAATAATTAATTAATATGAACATACTCTTTATTCAGCGCTAAGGAGATCCACGCCAAGAAGTGGGACGGGGCGCATAGTTATAAGCCACCGCAAAGAACAATAAAAAACAGCTTCGAATCGACCAGGAAAGATGATTGATTAGGGAATAAAAGAGAACAGCTAAAGAACCAAAAAGAAGAAGAATAAATAATAGATTATTATTTCGAAGCGAATTACGGTAATCAATAAATATACATGGGCTCACCATCTCATTTCACCTACACTTCTCCGGATACTCATCATCATCCTCATCGCACAGCGCGATACAGTGAAGCGAACCTCACTAGTCGCTGCTAAGCTCAAAATGAACACAAATTCAGTGATAAAGTAAAGGATGGAGAGGGATTTGGCCTAATTGGAGGGAGACAAAGAAAACTCACCCCTATGGTCAACACACCAAGTACACAATCCAAGTAAGCATACATACCTTTTCAAGCATTCTGACCTGATAGTAAATGACAACAAGAACGCCACTGCTGTCGGTTAGTCACCAGATCCTTCAGTAACTCCAACCAGCCAGTCGCAGAATCTTTCGAACCCCAAACTGGAAGACGAGAGACATCGAATACCTAATCGCTCTGTGCATTTCTTCATGCCTCGTCTCCACGTCATCTGTTGACCTCCATGCAGTTTCTTCCAACATGGAGCAGCAATTCCGAATAAAGTGCGGTGCGCTAGACGTTGGCTGGGCATGCGCTATACGTCCCCTAACCAGCAAAGCCGACTAAGCTGAATCCGATGGGACAACGAATTCTCCATCAAATCATTACCAACTACCCGATGACTTACCTCAGAGTTGTTTACGCGCTCGCTCCATCCAAACCGTGCCAAAGTACGTAAGCACATGCAGTCGAAAACTTCTAGACGACGAATGTTTTCCACGCGTAAATTCAGGGTCTCGCAACCATAGAGCAGAACTGACCGCACACTGGCGCAGTATACACAACCTTTCAGTTTTTAATGAAACATCGCATCTACACCAACGGTGTTCCAGTCTCGCGTAAGCTGCTCCAGCCTTGAAAATGAGGTCGGTTACTTCATTGACTATGCGACCGTCATTTGAAACGCAGCTACCTAAATAGGTGAAACATTCCACTACAGCTAATTTTTGACCATCAATCATCAGCGCCGGGGTAGACGACACCCAGTCTTGTAGCATCACTTTGCGCTTTGAAGGTGCAAAGCGCATGCCGAAAGGGGATACAGAACTTACTAGTCTGTCAAGAGCGCATCTCGCATCCTCTATAGATTCGAACAGGCATACTGTGATCTTGTGAATCGTGTTCCGTACCAAAGTGTAAACACCATATGGGATTTGATAAGCGAATTCTTTATAAGTTTTTCCCATATTAAAAATTTCAATTTCAATTTCAATGCGGATAATGCAAAAGTCACACGATAGGAGTAAGTTAACTCGAATGAGACACATTCCTGGTTTAGAGGTTGCCAACATGCACACACTAGTCGGGATGATTTGCATCACAGGGAGTCGACCATCATTAGCAGGTTTTCAGTAGTGACACAACTTGTTTTCTGCCCGGATCTCGTTTGATCACAATGTACACACAACAAGATATCACACGATGAC